AGCAACTAAGTCACACCTGTGAAAAGTTAATAGTATTTCAGTATATAGTATATAGTTATTATTTTAAAAATAAGACACTGAGCTTATCAGCTGGAACAGCCCAGGTTTGAGCGCTGTATGGCGGAGTGAGCTCTGATTACTTAAATCCTGCCAACCTAGTAGTTTGAAAGCATACAAATGTGAGTAGATAAATAGGCACCACTTTGGTGGGAAGGTAACAGTGTTCTGTGTGCCTCAGCAAAAACGAGTGGACAGGAGAAACCTTTACTTTTTAAAAAACATTCATCTTGACAAATTCTTCCCAAATTTATTCCCTCCTGATGTGAACTACATATTCCAACATGCTTGGCATATGTGTCTCAACATTTTAATCCCATATATGGGAGGTCACTAGCTTGGGAGATGCTGATGTTTAGACGTGGAAATGAACACAATCTAATATAAGCCTGCAGGGCTCTAGCAATGACTACCCTAGGAAGAAAATTGGAAGAAGGCCATGTCTGGAGTTGGAAGAATCATAAGCAGCAATGACACATAATGTGCTGAACGGGTCTTTGGATCAACTGATTACAAGGTAGCTGAGTTCCTTCTGTTCCTGTTTCTGAAAAGGGATTTCTTTAGGATGAAAAGACTTCTCTGTGAATGTTATTATAGCCTCTCTGTTTTAGGAAAGCACAAACCATTTTTTTTCTGCACAATAAAAACCAAAAGCAACTGTTTGGGTGCTTTAACTAATCCTTCTTAATAATCAGTGGCAGGTAACATGCTGCTTTCAAAATGACAATTATAACATTCAAAATTATCACTTTTATGTTCCTCTTAAGGAAGAGGCAAAATGTACTGTTTGTGGGTGGCAAAACCCTGTCATAAAAATATAGGCAACTTATATTTGACTTTATTTTGCAAGGGAACAAAGGGAGAAAAAAATGACACTCTTTTATTTTGTTGGTTATATAGATGAAGATGCTTCTTGGAAATGTATGTTGAAATGTAGGGCGCTTCTGATGCTTATAGGAAGTTTAGATATAAGAGAAAACTGTGGGGAATTGAGGCTTGGCTTTATTATTCATTGGAAAAAGCAGATATGAAACTCAACTTAAAAAGATGAATAGGATTTACATGTCAGTGAGAAACAGACAGGTGCTTGATGTGTGAATTTGTGCAAATCTATTTTACCATTAATTTTCCAGTCCATCATTTTTCTCTAACAAAATGGGAAATTGTTTCAGAGACTCAGACAACATAGTACTAGGGAAAAAAGCACATAATGTCCCATTTTAGGTCTGCAATATAATTTTGTGATTCTGATTTTTCTAAGCATCAGAATCTTAACAACATTCCATTAAACATAAAAGTTAAAGAGGATATAAAATCAGAACTCTCTTGAAGAGATTACTGTGAAGGGCCTAAATTCAAGCTCAATGCATGAAATAGACAGATAAAACAGACAGATATAAAGAGATATGTTGACTACGGTAGTCATCCCAATCATAAATTTTCTTAACCCTTTGGATCATATTACAGAATGTAATTTGTAGAACCATTTCATGGATCCAGTAGGAAGAGGTAAATAGCTTTTTGTTCATGGGATTGTTTAAATGTTATTTTTGCATATTTCTTTACAAAGTTTATTATTCACAACAATTACCATTTTACTGTCATTTAAAGCAATAACACTTACCATACTTTTTCCATGTTTTAGACATGATTGTATTCCAACCAATTTATATATTTCATGTGTGTGTATACACACAAGCACACATACATGTATAAACAGTTTTTAAATGTAATAGAAGCATCATGTAAGTTTAAAATAGTGTAGTTTAAAATAAAGAGTACACCTTTATTTTAAACTTAGTTTCTCTAAATTAAATTACTCAGAATTTTTTTAATGTCTTCAATATGCATTCATATTGTCGAATATTGCATTGATGCTGAAGCTAAATTTTGATCAGTTTTATACTTTTTGGTTTCTTCAAATAATGTCAGCAACTTTGAGCTCATGCCATGTAATAATCCTCTACCGGAAAGAGACAAAGCAAAGTACCAGCTACAAACTGGTCTCTTTTTCTCTCTTTGCAACAGAAGGCTCCCATCTGAAGTTTAATACACATGCCAGTACATGCTTGAGGAAGGGTATTGCTTTGAAGAGAACAGGGAGCTAGTTATGCATGTTTATATGAGAAAGAACAAAGAGAATAACTCAGCTGTCTTTGCCAAGATGGAGTAGGAGGCTGTATACTGCCACTCAAGCGAACAACAAAACCACCAGTTGTGGGATAGGTGTTACACAAATAGAAAGTAAAAAATATAGAATTCTGAAATTCTTGCCTGTTATGGCCTAGATGTTCTTTGACTATAGTGGCTAGAATTTGTGAGAACTACAGTTAAGAAACACTTAGAAGATACCATATTATGAGAGACTGAGTAGTCCTTGAACTAATTCTAGTTCTTCGTTCTTCAAGCAAAAGTTATGGTAAAAAAAGAAGTAGCAGGCATACAGAGAATATTAGAAAACTCAAATTTCTGAAATTTCTTGTGTTAACCTATTAAATTGGGTTCGCTTTGAGAGTTTGCACTGCAGGTAGAGTAGCAATGCTTTCCAGCTCACCATTAGTTAATAATTTTAGAATTACAGTATTAGCTTCAGTACTTCTGTAAACCTTTTATCACTTATTTCTCAGTTGCTCCATTTTCCCCATTCTTCATGATCTGAGTTCATTGCAAAAAGGGAAATTAGCAAACTTTGTCCGGGATCCTCAACACAACATCCATGGACCTCTTCCTTGTCAATGTCCATGCCCCACATTACTGCTTTCAGGGACAGGCAGCGCATCTCTCCAAGTGTTGCCATGATATTTGCAACAAGCTCTCGACATTCCAAAAGACCAAGTATTTTAGATATTATTGTGAACTGTGTTAATTAGCTAAGAAAAGAAGTGATATTTTGTTTTCTTTGATGCAGGAATTAGAATCATAAATTATTCCAGTTATAAAAAGTTTTCTTTAAGAATGAAGTGTGTATGAACTGTGAACATAGGAGGAAAGAATAAATTATCTTTTTCAGTACAAAACAAACACACACTCGAGTGAATTCACTAACAAACCCACTTTATTCATATTTGGTTCTCCTTCAGTAGTACAACTGCCCCTAATATACTGTAAGCCATATACTGTATTTTATCCTTTCTGATGCAGTATTCGGTAAGTAGGCTGGTTGGCTAAATCAATATTCTGTCTTTAGATATACCGGAAGGCACACATAAACAAAAGGAGTTCATACAAATATAGGAGAGCTTTTTTGTGTGTGTCAGTAATTAGATTGTCAAGTTTTCTATCTTTCTATCTTTGTACTAAAGACAATCACGTGATCTTATGTTATTGTTTGCAAGAGTGCCAAAACTACATAAAGAGACACAGAGATTCAACACACATAAGCCATGTTCTTAGCTTGACGGGTAGATTTTATGTAGCTTTTACAAACTATTTTCTGTTTTATCTTATGTTTAGGCTTTATTTTATTAGGCTTGTTAAGTTAATTACAAACTACTACTGACATCAGTTTCCCAATCTTTTTCAAAAGAATATATAAAGGCCAGGCTGCACTCTTTATCCAGAGTTTTTCAAACTTTTCTGTAGTAGCGTCATTTCTTTCAGTTTATATCTTTATTAAGCTGCCCTCTACTGATGGCACTCTGATATAGCAATAGCACTTAAGACATATATACTTCTTCACAGGGCTTTACAGCCCTCTCTAAGCAGGTTACAGAGTCAGCATATTGCCCCTCATTTTACCCACCTCAGAAGGATGGTAGGCTGAGTCAAACTTGAGATTTGGGGAGATTTGAACTGCCAAACTGCTACAATTTCATTGTAACACATTTTACAATGAGGCATAAGAACTCATTGAGTTCTGTAAAATCAACACAGCTTCATCCAAACAAACTGAATTTAGGACTATTAGAGATTTTTTTGTAAAGTTCAAATTAAATTTACTTGTAGCGCAGTAATACCAGCCATAAACTCAGATACTGCTCTCTCTTTACAACAGGGATGTCAAACTTGCGTCATCACAGCGGCATCATGTGACGTATCATGACTTTCCGTTCGTTAAATTGGGCATGGACAGAGTGTGACGCATCCGACACATTGCGGGGCGCGAGTTTCAAAGCCCTGCTCTCTATGATCTATTTAGACAGCGTAAGAAGATGCAAGAAAAGACCAAGTTTTTGTATTTTTATTGACAGCTTGAAGGATAGCAACAGCAATAGTGCTTAGACGTACTATATACCACTTAACGGTGCTTTACAGCCCTCTCTAAGAAGTTTACAGAGTCAGCATATTGCCCTCAACAACCTGGCTTCTCATTTTACCAATCTCGGAAGGATGGAAGGTTGAGTCAACCTTGAGCCAGTGATAATTGAACTGCTGGCAGTTGGCAGAATTAGCAAGCAATGCTGCATTCTAACTACTGCGTCACCACGGTTCTTTACCAATATAGCTATTATGTCTGTTCTAGACATGAATGGCTTAAAGCATTAATGAAAACTATCTAGTCTTCATGGAAAGCTGGTCTCTTTTCAAGAAAGTAGTATTGTTTGTCGACTAAAGTACAAGTAAAACTTCAGATCAGGGACATTACTGGCATGCAATGCGCACAGAATCATCTGCTCCTAAAGTACCCCCTGTCGTGTAGTGGGGATGCAACTTATCCATGCCTAGTCAAAAACATCTCAGAAAAAACTGCTAAGTCACAGACTTCTGCAGTAAGAATATTTGCAAATTTTCCTACATCCTACGGATTACTAGCTTAGTCAGGCTTAATTTATTGGTCAAAATTGCCATGTTAACAAATAAATTCATGAGATGTTATATATTATTACTCAGGAACCTAAGTCTTTATTCGAGAGAAACAACTAAACTTAAGGAAAAAATCCAACAAAAACAGCCTTCTTGAAAAAAGATGGCTATCAAATTAGCAGTGATTAGAAGTCTTATTATAGGCAGAACAAACCATTTATTAGAATCAGATAACTGTTTCACATTTTCCCCCGTAAAGAAACTCAGTCAGCAACAGACAACTTGCCACTGGATCAAAAGAGCAACACATCTTGGTTTATCTTTTCTTGTATCATATTTTTTAAGTCCAAAAGTTCTAACAGGTTGTCAGTTTCCATCTGGATGGAAATATAATTACCGAGTAGTGTGAGTAAGAAGAGGTTCTGTCAGATTCTGTGAATGGCATCTTTACCCTTTGATTACTGCAATGGGCCTCAGTTTAATCGCTTTCTTGCTTATGCCAGCTGCATGGCAGGTGTTAACCACATCTGTCACATTCTTATAAGATTCAGGCGCCTAGGAAAAAGGAAATGAAAAAAGGAAATGATATGCTTTGAAGGTGTTAAGAGAAAACAATTTATCCCAAATCCCAAAGGAAAAAGGGAGCCCTTTCCAGGAAGCAATTAGGGCATTTAAATTTGTTAGATTCTGATCTGTATTTTTTCCCCCCAATAAGAGATGCTAATACTTTGCCGTGAAAAGAAATCCACCCCAGAAATAAAACTGTCCACAGAAAAATTAAAAGAACTCTCACTTCTTCCATGACTAGTTTGGGAGATGCAACACGGATCGCAATTCCCATATCTGCCAACTTGTCCAACACATCCTGGAAATCCAAGTTACGTCGCGATTTGGCACGGGACAATGCACGGCCCTGTAGGATAATATATTTAAGTACCAGTCTTCAACTGAAGCAAACATTGTCATTGTGAATGAAGAAAGCAGTTACATGTGGCCTTGGCCATACATTAAAATAAAGAGAACAGACTTTTAAGATTCCTTAATTTCTTAAAGTTTTCTAATACACACATACATATATAAGGACAGTTGCTTAAATGTGCTCCACCTTGGACCTTGACTGACTGTATTATGAGTTTGAGTCAGTAAATCTTGGGGAAGTGGACAGGTTCTCAATGCAGTTACTTTCAGCCACCTGATTGCTGGATCCTAAGTAAAACAGCCAGGAATTTGTTTTGTAATTGAGTCACTTCATGGATCAACTAATGCAATGTGCTCTACATGGGGTTAACTTGGAAGACCACTTGGGAACTTAATTGGTCAAGAATGCAGCAGTCAGAGCAGTGATGGGCATGTTTTGATATGCCTATTTAATACTTTGTGAGTCTGTATTTGCTTTCAGTATTCTTCTGGGTGCAAGATAGTAGCTATGACCTATAAAATGCCATTATTTTTAGTGTTGTGGTGGCGCAATGGTTAGAATGCAGTATTGCAGGCTAACTCTGTTTACTGCCAGGAGTTTGATTCTGACCAGCTCAAGGTTGATTCAGCCTTCCATCCTTCTGAGGTCAGTGAAATGAGAACCCATATTGTTGGGAGCAATATGCTGACTGTGTAAATTGCATAGAGTGCTGTAAAGCACTATGAATTGGTATATAAGTCTAATTGCTATAGAGTCTGGTTACTTGAAGGACCAACTATTTTCTATAGTATTGGACTGGCTTACTTGATCTACCAGGATTAGCATGCTCAGGGTTTCTTTATTAAATTATGTCATCTATTGGCATTCAAGGAAGTATTCCCTGCTTCCCTGCCTTCTGGCATGAGATCTCCCCTGCTATTTGTGTGGGTGCCACCCTGATGGTAGTCTACAAAAACTACAAATGTGGCTGTTCTTCCAGGCCTTTGATTAGGCTGGCGGGGGTCCCTGCCAAATATTATGCAGAGTGTGGATATAGTTAGATGGTTCTTCCTTCCCTCCCGTTTGGTTTAATTGTACATAATCCAGAGTCATTTTAGAGTTGGGATTAAATACATTAAATACATACACCATCTAAATCATCCTGGACATTCTATACTACATTGCCTGCATTTCTAAATTACTATAATCTCTCTGCATCCTCATTTGATCCCACACACATAAGATTTGTGACCCCACCCCTCTTGCCAGAATAACTGAAGCTTTCTTTTGATTAGCATATTATCCACATGTACAGAAGTATGAAGCAAAAAGCCCATGATTTAGAGTATGGCAAGTGGTTTCCTACTCACTGCTCCATGGCAAGTGGTTCCAAAGGTTTCGGTCATGCCTTGTTCAGTACCAGTAAGGACGTAACTGCAAGTTCCCATTGTTCCACCGATCAACACTGGCTGGCCGGTCAGCTGGAGACACACATACAATCAATATTAGAGTTATGCTGGAATGAGTGCCAATTATTATCAAACAATAAAAATAAATGTTGATGAAATACAGCTGGTATATATTTTTATCAGAATCAGCTGATCAGCTTCTGCTCTAAACTAACTTACAAAAGAGGATATATTTGTGAATGTACTTGCATTATATTTGTGAAATTAGATTAGGCCGGATGTCAAGAACCGACAGCTCTGGAGTTGCATGCGGCTCTTTCATTTCCCTGCTGTGGCTCCCTGTTGGCTGAACCCACCACTGGCTGGCCTCGCCCCTTTGCCCTCCCGTTCCAATGACTACTTGCCTGGCCTGAGAGAAATGAGGGGGGGGGGGGAGACAGAGATAGAGAGAGGAAAAAAAAGACACACACACACACACACACAGATATCCATTTCCCACAGAAAACAACGTGAGTCCCAAAACCTGGGTAGGCGTGGCAGGATATGTGCCATGTGACTGGGTAGGAGTGAATGATGTTGAGTTGGCCACACCCACCCAGGTTTTGTGGCTCCTGGTGTTTTTGTTTTCTGTGGGAAATGGGTCCAAATGGCTCTTTTGAGTTTAAGGTTGCAGACCCCTGGATTAGGTTATACAATCAATTAAATGAAAAACTCCACCAAGGATGCAAAGGAAAATGACAGCTTGTGAATGCTAACAAGAGAGAAATCTCAGAAGTTCCTACTTGGTAATCAACAGCTATAAGAGGGTGGTGAGGAGGGAATGCTCTGGTTGATCCTTTCCTATGCACCAACAGGGTCCGTTCTTTTCCATCTACCACATGCTGTTCTACTTTTGCAATGTTGTGAGACACATCGTATATTACATGCATGTCCAGATCATCAGGGGTGGTGTTGAAGACTTTAGCAAATGCCTAGAAAACAATACAGGTAAACAAAGTAGTTCTAATAATATATTTTGAGGGGTTGGTATATATGGGAAGAGGGATTAGAGCTGAAATTGTTTACGGAAACTGGAATTTTAGTTACAATTATCTGCAATTCTTTCTTTAACAATCAGTTTATGTCAAGCTTCCTGAATTCAAAAAAAAAGATTTTAATAGCAAATCTTGTATAACTGTACTTGAAAGACATTCTCTAAACTGACTAATAGGGAATGGGAAAGGCAATTATATTTGGTAAAATGTACTTCAGACTATGGCTGGAATGGAGCAAATAGTTCAGAGGAAGCATTAAAAAACGTTTTTCTGAATGTTGCCTCGCTGCTCAAGATTACACAATCCTTCCAATTCGAAAAACAGGCCAAGCCTGTTTTTTTTTTAAAGCAGAAAATGGCCATTGTTTATGGCAACGCTATTCATATGAACTGTGAACAACCATTTGGAGCACTGCTCCACTCATGCACAAAATGGGCATGATCTAAACCTAACAAGGGGTGGTTCAATGGCTAACATGCTGAGCTTGTCAAATAGGAAAGGACGACAGTTTGGTGGTTCGAATCCCTAGCACTGTGTAACGGAGTGAGTTCCCATTACTTGTCCCAGCTTCTGCCAACCTAGCAGTTCTAAAGCATGTAAAAATGCAAGTAGAAAAATAGGGACCACCTTAGGTGGGAAGGTAACAGCGTTCCGTGTGCCTTTAGCATT